TCAACGATTTTATTTTAGATTTCGTATATTTATAACATATTATACTATCTAGGTACATGTTATGTTGAAACCATAAATTATATTTTAATATCAATATTAATATTGTGAAGTATGCCTTAATTTTTTTCATCAATGAAGTATTTTGTGACTGTATTGCATAATTCATTGAATATTTAAATCATTATTCATTTTTTGTTATAAAAAATTAAAAACATTAAATTATGTATACATCTTTAATAAGTAACATATTACGTATGTAAATATATTGTATGGATTAAATTTTCATTATTATTTACTTTAAATTTTACAGGAAGAACCATTTACCATGTTTAAAAAACCCAAGTATGGTGAATCGTTAGCAGGAAATGACAGATTTGAAGGATATTGCAAGGACTTAGCTATATTATTGGCTGATAAAATTGGAGTGAAATGTAAGTTATACTTATATGAAAAATGTATTTATTTTGATAGATTTTCCTACCGCATCCAATTGTGAATCTAAATCATCCCGGTAACCACTCAAACACACACATAACATTTCATCAAAATCGGTCCAATCGTTTAGAAATGCATAAAAGGCATACAGACAAACATTAGTTTATTATTTTTATTATTTTCGGACACCCCATTCATTTATCCAAGACAAATTTTACATTAAATCCTTCCCCGTGACTCGATCGATCTATTAGTGAAAAATGTATGAAAATCCGTTGAGTAAATGTTGAGATATGCATTATATATTGTTAAACGTATTTTTTATTATATAATAATAATTATTTAATTAACGATTAACCAATGATTACAAATAATTATTAATTTAATAGCAACCATTTATAAACAAAAATTTCCATCGAAAATCTCAAAATCCCTGTTTGAGCACATCTACGGGGTTTAATATCTCCTTTTTAAATAAGCATACAACACTCAAGGATAACGTAAATTTCTAATGATGAAAGCATTTTTGAAATCGGTTCAGCCGTTCTTGAGTTATAAATGGTCTAACATTTTTTCGAACTCTCTTATATATATATTATATATAGATTGCTAGAAAATCATGTCAGTATAGACTAATTAATTAAATGAATAACCTTGATTAATATTTTGGTTCCGAAGTTCAATTTTAAACTATTTTCGCATTTTAATTCGTGTTCTACGTTATGTATTTCATTGTGTGTGTGTATATACAGTGTGTTCACTCTAAGAGGTACCACTAAACATTCCAGTTCGATGACCTTGTATTGAAATGGGGTTTTCACTGAATGACATATACCTAGTACTGAAATACACATTTTCAGATAAATTTCAAATTTTTAACTCTTTCGATACTCTCATGCGCGATACAACTTACTTTTTTTTAAATGGCAACATTAACTTTTTTTACATATTCGGTTAGAGTATTTTTTACTAAACAATTTATGTATAAAAGTTTTTTTCTAATTAAAAAATTCGCATATGAAATTTAACGAAGACATTTAATATTTACAAGTAATTTTTTTGACAAAATCTAAACTAAATTCAACTTATTGTTACTTATTAGTTATTAATATCCAATATTGTTAAATACCTGTGTGCACACAGATAAAATAGTAAAAACAACTTTGACAACATTTGACTGTAATATTAAGATAGTATAATTCCTGTTCGTTAAACATTTATTCTTCGTAAATATTAAACTTCATTGTTAAATTTCATATGCCAATTTCGTAATTAGAAAAAAACTTTTTATACATAAATTGTTTAGAAAAAAATACTCTATCAGAATATGTAAAAAAAGTTGATGTTGTCATTTGAAAAAAAAGTAAGTTGTATCTCGCATGCTCGTATCGAAAGAGTTAAAAATTTGAAATTTATCTGAAAATGTGTATTTAAGTACTATCCGTCATTCAGTGAAAACCCCATTTCAATACAAGGTCATCGAACTGAAATATTTAGTGGTGCCTCTTAGCTTGAACAGTGTGTATATGTATAAAGCATTCTTAATTAATTTCACAATAATATATTTTACGATTATTTTCGTTTATTATAAGTAAGTGTTATGATAGTAATTGAGACTATATTCGCACACTGGACATTCTATTATCTAGATTGGATTTTGGATAAGTAATAAAACAGAAACTCGCTGTTATAACAATTGAAATTAAGATAATGAAATGGTTATTGACTATTGTCTATTGTGCTTCATCATAAATGCTTCCTAACTATTTAGATTTTTTTAGATCGTATCTCACATGTATGGTTTTTTAATAGAAATCTTAACAAGGTTATAAACAAATTTAAACATAGTTTGAAAAAAAAAATGTTCATTTTCGTTTCGACGGAGTATTGAACCATAATTTATCTTTGTAAAATAATTATTCAAGTACAATACGCAGCTTATTACAACCTAGATTAATTTGATTTAAAATTAATTTTTGACAAAGTTATACATTTCAAATATTTAATGTTATTAAACGCAATTTTTCAGTCTGAAGATTGTTTTATGTTGTATGTGATTAGTATATGGAATAAAATATAATATTAAAGTTAATAATCAAGTAGTTCGTTTTTAAATAGCAACATTTACAACCTTGAAGTTTTCTTTTATCAGGTTTTTTATAAAGTTAATACATGAAATAAAATATATATTATAAACACGAACAAATACAATTTTAAATAATTAATCAACTAAAACTTGCATAATACGAGTATTATATTTTACTGTGTGATCAATTATTCATTAAAAAAATAACCTTATGGTTTACAATTTTAGATTCTGAGTGGAACGATGAATGTATTGATAATACAATGATGTGTGTTTTTTTTTATTTTATTTGAGCCGATAAGTAGTCGAAATAATGCTTCGATTTTCAACTTCAGTATCTTGTTCGATTGGAAAGTGAATATCGTTGGTGCATTGAGGAGGTCAAAATTTAAATTTCGAAGTAATTTTCAAAAGCGCCAAGAAAAACAAAAGAAAAATTAAGGAAAAACGGGAATTTTTACTCAAAATCGATTTTTCACAAAATCCAATTTGGTTTTTGGTGTGACTTTAAAACAAATGACCTTGAAATTTTCACTGGTTGTTTATATTTGTATTTTCTATACACGATAACATTTTCAAAATATTTTGATTTATTTTGAACTGAAAAATTAGAATAACTATTTACACTATTATATATCTATGATAGTATCAGGGTTTATTGTTGATGTATAACACATTATAAGTACCTAATGGATATTGTGATATGATTAATTTGTAATTTATTATAGGTCAATTTTTTTTAACACCATAGATAAGTATATAATATGTCTTACCTATACCTAGACTGACATACCGTCTCCGCTCAGAATCGTTTTTCTTATACAATGATATTATATCATTGAATTAAAATTTAATACCTTCCGTTATACAGTGACCCACTTGTAACCTACTGTACAGCAGAGCACCTTTTTTAGCTATTGCATAGGTTTTATCGCGGGCCTGGCATGGTGACAAAGTGTGACCGTAAGACGTTATTATTATTATTATTATTATTATCTGCCGTCGTCGGCTATTGTTTGTAGGTATATTTGAAAGTAGCAGGTATAAATGTACCCATAATATACGATATATTATAATAAATTAAATATTAATGATAAAATTAGCCATAAATCGGAGTTATTGACTTGTTTACGAGTTAATCTATCTGACTCGAATTTTTGTTGACAATCTGTAATTCTCGCCGTTCTGTGCTATTTTTTTTTAAGCACATGCAGTGTATACATTTAATATATACCTATGTATAATGTTCCGAGTTCTCTGACTGAATGTCTGAATGTATACAACAACACGTATCTCAGTTTTTATGATTTTACAGTAGAGTCATAAATACGTTGTGTTATTAGTTATTACTTATTACTTATTACCACAGATATAATATAGTATATACTACTATACTATAGTATAGATGCCTGACTCTATATTCTGTTGTGTATGGGTTTTTGAAGCCAAGTAGGTTGGACAATGTTTACAATCTGTTATCAATGTTATAGTATATAATAGATAGAAGATTGATAACATCGATTTGTAAACATTGCCCAACTTATATTATGACGGTTAGCTTCAAGTATGGTCTCCGAGTCGGGCATCTAGTATTATAGCATATTATAATATATTATACTATATCTGTGGTTATTACACAGTGCCGCGTTTTACATGCTGCGTAATAATTTTATTTTGTTATTTACAGTTTAACCAGTTGTCTAAGCCAAAAAGTCTCAAATAAAATATTTCTGTACGGTGTTTATCTACCATTAACAAAAAACTCATATTGTCATTTTCTTTTTGGTCGTCGGGCTCAAAAAGTGTAACTTGAATTAATATCATACAAAAATAAATAGTTATAATTACATGATACATAGCTACAAAATTGCTATACAATAGCTTTACCGCGGCAATCCCCGAGTGCCTCAGACTTATTTTTTATTATTATTGTTATAATTATCAATGCTGCAACCCAAATAAAGTTGTTAGCTTTACTATTTACAAATAAATATATACAATATACATTTAACAATTATACTCGAATTTTTTTTTTCCAATTTTGAACCGAAGACACCGCGGGAATTACTTTCGCATTACTTCCGCGGCGCCGCCATCGTTTATTAAATTTAAATAAATGTTACATTTTATCAATTTAATGTTTTGACACCTTTGGTTTTTGTCCCTTAATGGGCGCACATTTAAAATAATTATACATTTTAAGGATAAATAACATTGTTGGCTTAGGGCCCGCTGATTGCTTTTCTTCACTTCCCGACCAGGAAAGTCATGTTCCTGTGTTCTTGCGGCCCGGCTTCGAGACCCGTACTGCGCATCCTTCTCCTTCTGGTGTTCTGGAGGGTGCATCTCGCCATTGTTGGTTGTCCAGTTTTCCTTCTATCTCCGTGCTTGAGTTCTGTCGTCGTTCCGGGATCCGGTCGGGTCGTTGAGTCACGTGGGTGTCTGCGTTTGCACCCCTACTTCCTCAGTCACCCTGACGATGGCAAGTCGTGCTGTGGGTGTATTACTCCTAGGCCCTCAACCTACTGTTGGGCAGTTTCGGCTGAGTTTTCGGGGTGCTGAGAGTTACCGTTGTTCTGCTGCTTCCCGCTCGTTTCCTGGAATCCGTCTTCGACTGTTGTTGATGTGGGATGGGGGCGATGTTGGCCCTCTCTGGTCGTGGACCGCCGGTGTTGGGTTTGTTCAGTTTTCCTTCTGGTTCCTCCATCTGTTCCTTCGTGCTGCTCGATGCGTCGGGTGCCCGGTCAACGGGGACTTGAAGCGGCCGACCCGAACACCCTTCCCGATCAATCGAGATCATCAGGACAGTGCTCAACCGAAACACTAAAGTAACCTAACCTTAACTACAAGCACTAATGCGAATTCCATGTGTGGTACATAAAGTAACGTGGAGAGCGTTATATAAATCAATGTGTTTTTATTGCAAACGTCGAAAACTCAAAACCACGTCATACAGCGATATGTAATATACGCGTCAAAATCACCTTAATATGTTAGGGGGGGGGGGGCACAATAGGATGTCCATTCAAAATAACAACAATATCAGTAGCTGTACTGATATTAACCAACTAAGTATTAAAGTACTGATAAGTAATATAATACACACGTTTTCATAATAAATTGAATTTAAAATGTTTGAGTATTTAGGGAATAGGGACAAAAATAGACGGGTTTTTCTCAACGTTGAATGTAAGTAGGAAGATCTAGAAAAACTCATTCGATGCCATTTCGTTGTCACCATGGCGCAGTGGAGTGTAGTTCACACTGTGTTTGCGTACGACGCGTTTGTGAAAAACAATGAATCGGTAGTTAAGATTCAGTGTGCATTCAGACGGTAAATAAAGTATTTTCGGGAGTTGTTACAGTACGTTTGGGACCATTTGGTTTTTTTTATTAACTGTTTCCGTTCAAAAACTATATACCCACCTCATAATTGTTTTCCCATTGAGAGCAGCACCACGTCTGAAGCTAAAGTGAAGTCTGAATGCTCGCTTCACCTTTTCTACAGATTCATTATTTTTCACAAACGCGTCGTACGCAAACACACAGTGAACTAAAACTCCACTGCGCCATAGTGACAACGAAATGGCATTATCTGATGGATCGAATGAGCTTATCTAGACCTTCCTACTCACATTCAACGTTGAGAAAAACCCGTCTATGTTTGTCTCTATTCCCGTGGTCCACCCGGTATTATATTTTTGACTATAGGTATATTACATACTCTTATTTTATGTAATTTGATACAGTATATAATATACGGTGTTATTTGATCCTACCTAGTGCCAAAATATCTGGAAAAAAATATAAAATTCATAATACAATAATATGAGATACTTCTTATAATTCCGAAAATAACCATCGATAAAAATATTAATATAATATAAAAAAAATCTTTAAAAATTATGCTCACGGTTTAATACTTTTCCTTTTGTATTAGTTTGTTACGTCTATTAACGATAATTTAATTTTTTGTTTTTTGGATAGATACCTACATCCCCGACTTGTTAATTTTGGTTTTAGTCAAGCTTTGGTTCAACTTTTAAAAGTATATAAATTTTGATACTGTTGTATGGTATGTTCTATGTAGTGTGTACTATTTGACGAATTAAACTCACGATTCAAAGCTTCAATGTTATTAGTTCGAGGTAGTTCCATGATCTCATGTATAAATGGAAAAATTGGATCTCTTCAAAATGTACGACCGATCCATGTGTTTCAAAATAACTTACATTAGCTTGAAGAAGAGTTTCATTATCATTTGTCAGTAAAGGCATTGTGTAACTATATGGACAAGTATAGGTAAAATTATAAAAGTTAGAATAAAGTTTGGCTGACTCCAAATTTTAGAAGTAGAATCATATAGTCTTAACTTGACCATAAAATTAGGGAGGAGGGCTTCAGCTTTACCATTTTTTGGAGAAGTAAATTATTAATAAAATGTACCGGGGCTTAAGAAATTCTGAGGGGACTGAAGCACCCTAGTTACCTCTATCAGTAGAATGAAGGTGAACATAATACACGAAAAAAAAAAAACAAACAATATACAGGGATCGAAAAAAGACCGAACAATGTACATTGTACGTTATGAACCAATACACAAAATAAAACGTGTTAAACTATTTAAAGAGCGTCTCTCATAATTTTAATTGAGTTTTTTTATATTATATCAATTTTTTTATTGATTTATTTTTAGGGAAATGACGTGTCACCGATACGCGATTACTTGGTTGCTATGAAGATATACAATATTATTTTATATGTAGCAAAACTTGATTTATTTTTAGTATGGCAGCTTATAATATTATTGTCGTTTTATTTACATAAAATGTATGAATTTTATTCTTAATTCCAAACATTTTGTGTTAAATAAACATTGTATTTTATTGAGTTTTTGGTGCATTATTGTAAACTAAGTTTATGATAAAGTTGATATACGTACACCTTTTTTATTTTATCGGTTGCTTTAGATCAGTTATTATAAACTAAATATTTCATTCTATTTTTTTAAATGATTCTACAATAGCTTTACTTTTAAATTTAAATTATAATTAAGACACTTTTGTGTTTTCTTTGTATTCAATTTATCCACCACATAATTTGATAATAGTTTTCAAAAATTACAGATTTTCTCAAACCATCAGTTAAACCACTACTCAGATGTTATACAGTTTCATCATCACCATATAACTTTTCATTTCTTTTTATTACGAAAAATAATTTTTCCATAATAAATTTCATTGAAATATATTCCAGTATAAAATAATAAAAGTTAACTAATTTTTAAACTAAAAAACATCTTTTTTTTTTGAACTTAAGCCCTGTAACTATCGTCATTAGTGGTTTTTTTTGTTTGTAGCGGGAGGAACGATTGGAACGGTTGGTTGAAACTTGTTTGTATCATGTATGTGTGGCAAGGATTTGTAGCTAAAAATCCCTGGTGGTAACCCATCCGGGAGCTAGCAAAACCGGCCAATACGCAGAACATTTCCGCAGTTGAGTGTACGGACCTAGTGAAGCTACAAAATAACATTTTGTATTTTAATAAATTAGTAATTCATGAATAACTTTATTTTTCCATGACACATTTTAACACTTTTTTAACTATTTATTTTTGAATAAAATATTCTAATTAGTTAATTTTATAGTTTAAGTTTTATCTAAAAATTATAAATATAATTATTATGAGATATGTTCTCACATTGTTCATAATTTTATAGTTATGGAACACAAAATTATAGCTATTGGAGTCTACAATATTATAATAAAAATACTAAAATAGGTCATGCATATTTTAGGAAAAAGTAAAGAATTTTCGATGACTAATATAAATATTTTAAAAATTATATAATACAGCTGTCATATTTCACTCAGATTTTTGTATTTAAATATAATATCTTACGTATAAATGGAAAAACTTTTAAGAATCTCGTGATATATCCGTGTAAACATAATAATATTATTATTTGAAGATAGTAGAACACATTTCAAGAAAAGTAGTTATCCTTATTGTTAAGTAGATAATGATTTAAAGTTTTGGTGTGATAAATTTGTCCTTTGGGACATCTCGAAAAACAAAATATAAGGAAGTAAATTTTTTACATCTAAAATTATATATTTTTTGTTTATAGACATTTTGTATAATATTTTGTAGGAAATAAAACATTTTCTAATAACCTAATATACAGCAGAGCCCCTCTTTATACGTATATTTGCAGTATATTTATTTTATTTTTCAATGACTGATTTCATTTTCACAAGAGATATATAGAAGGCGGTTCTAAATTCTAACACAATGCAAAAGTCAAAAATAATAAATTTATAAAATTGATATTTTATAATACCTACATGAAAACAGTAGTAAAGAACTAGAACATTACAATAATTTTCTGCGCTTTTTCATTAGTGCAAATGTACTTATTATGTTATCAAAATCAATGGTTTGAGCTATGTTGCTTTTCATGCTCAATATGGGTAAATTTGATAGCCAGTATTCAGTCATAGTTGAGCGAAGGCATGTTTTGAGAAGTTTTGGAAGGCTAAAACTTTTTTCTGCAGTTGCACTAATGACTGGAAGTGTATAAAAAATTGTATACAAAGTATATAAATTTGGATACGAAGAAACCATGTCTCGTGATATCATGAACTTCAATAGTTCATTTAATTTTAAAGGTCCAATTCCTCCAGTTTCAATAGTTTTTTCATACACTTATTGGTAAACTAGATATAATGAACGGTATTCCACTTCTATATCAACTTCATAAAATATATCTAACATATTTTTATACTTGTGTTTTTCGAATTTAGGTACATTATAAATTGATAAGTTTAAGCACGATTTCGTACGCTTTATTTTACTTTATTACTCAGTCTTCATGACTTTATATATACACCTACATCATAATAGCAGATTTTCGATATTTTGATAGGGGGGGGGGCACATATAAATTTTATAATTTTAATTTTAATTAAGAATACATATACATACTATCATTTTTAAACTATAATGATTATAATATATAATAAATAGTTAGGTAGGTAGTATTATTCTTATTAACTGCATTTTTCATTTATATGATATTCGTAGTTACATAACAAATTGTCGATAGAAAATTGACAGGGGGGCACGTGCACCTCCTCTAAATCCACCACTGTACATAATTTTTTCAAATAAAAAAATGTTTATATAGTTTACCATTTCAAGGGGCCACATTTAACAGGGGAAAAAACTGTGGTTCAGCTGACCTCCCGTAAACCGATTTACTGGTGTTTCCTTTCGGCCGTTAGGAGGAGACTCCAGATGATCGACAGGGTGCTGTGATACTAGTCTTGGAGAACCTTTGGTGTGCTTACAAATCACGTCAGTATATAATTAATATAGGTGAGCTGAGACCATAAGCCCGTGTGCAACGAAATAATTTAGGTCCATAAAACATATTTACGATGAATTGGACGGTATGTAATCGCCGTGACGTAATATGTAGAAGAGTAGAAAAAAAAATGATTCAAATGATTTAAATGAAAACCGATTTAAAATAATGAATACGTTTTTTGTATACTTATTAAAAAACCGAGAAATTTCATGTTACCTCGTCGGTAAGTAGGTAATTACAAGTCACTATATTATTAATGTGTTAATTTTCAAATCAATTCATACATAAACGATTCTTAGGTGAGACGAGTGTTAGCCGTGTTGCTATTCATATGTTATGATTTATTTAGATAGTTATTACTTATAAGTAATTTCTTTTTCTTTTACCAATCAGGTAGAACTATTTTTTGACAAAAACACCACATATATCTATATTTTAAAATGTAAAACGAGTT